ATCCTATACGCTTCATCCCCAAAAAAAAAATCCCCCGATTCTTAACATTTCCCAAAAACAAAGAAGATTTCCAAACAATCCCAACCCCCCCCCCCCCCCCCTCCTTAAAACAAACAAAAGAAATCAAAATCAAGCATAACTAAACAAAAAACAAAACAAAACACAACAAAAACACCAACGCATAATTAAAATTGATAGCAAGTTAGACCTAGATCTACATGTTTATTGAGGCTTCTAGTCATTATCATCAGTGCGAGAATACCATAATTTTGCATGTTCACCCGAAGACTATAAAATTGTGTGTGTTCGTCTGTATTTGCAAGTGTGTGTGTTCGTCTGTATTTGCAAGTGTGTGTGTGTGTGTGTGTGTGTGTGTGTGTGTGTGTGTGTGTGTGTGTGTGGGGTGTGTGTGTATGTGTGTGTGTGTGTGTGTGTGTGTGTGTGTGTGTGTGTGTGTGTGTGTGTGTGTGTGCTGGCGCGCACGGACGTGTTAGTGTGTATGCGCGTGCTCACTCGTGTGTGTGCATGTGTGTACCTTGCCGCAGCAAATTTTTCTTTGTTGATCTCTCTCTCTCTCTCTCTCTCTCTCTCTCTCTCTCTCTCTCTCTCTCTCTCTCTCTCTATCTATCTATCTATCTATCTATCTATCTATCTATCTATTACTGCTTTCATGAAGCATGCATAAGGTCACCCACAGAACGACACTATAAAATAAAAAGACAGAACACCATCAAAAACATAAAAAAGCCAACACACATTGGTGGTAGGAAGCGGTCAATACATGTAAAAAAGCTACATTATTTTATTATTCATTATAGTTAAAAGAGGAACAGCTGCTCCGATCCTGCGCTGTTTGACGTTACACGCCAAAGACATCAGTTCGATTCTTGAGTGGGGAATGTTTCTGTAGAGAATCCACGTCAATCTGCTGGAATGTTGTAGCCGGCAAAAGGGGAGCCTTGTAGTCTATATTACTATTACAGTCAGCCCGACTTTGGCTGCCTGGCAGGCAGGGTCGACGATATCCGCATTTCATTTAATATCATGTATAATAATTCGCTACCTCAGAATTACATGCATAAAGTTCTTTCTGGCATTTTTGGCCGTTTTGAGTTATCCTAAGACTATGGTGTCAGAAACCAAATGTTATGTCTACTCCATCAATATCGTAAGATTATTTGGAATCGTTATCACGTTACGGTATTCAAAGAATTGTAATTTGAAAAAGCATGACGTGATGTGAAACTCAAAATCTATTACGTCAAAGTTATAAAAACTGGACTCTGAGCAGTGAGCAGATACGAGTAGAACTTTGTAATTCTGAGGCGGCGTACTGCGCGATGGGCGCGCAAAACATATTCACCAGGGTTGTCAAACTTACTCCTTTTTTAAATATATATTATATATTTTTATAATAGAGGGTTTTACGGCGCTCGCAACTGCATAAGGTCATATGAGCGCCAAGGGGTGGGTGTCAACAGAGAAGTCTTTACAGGGAATCAGACTTAGACTGCTCACCTCTCTAGCTTCAACAGCACAAGGTCTGCTTCGACTATCAAGGCACCCCGGAAATAGCAGGTCACAAGAGTGTGACAAACATACAAAAGTAGAGGGAAATGACAATAGTAAGGATCAGGAAAGAAAAAGCAGCAGTTCTCTGTTGTAGATCAGGCACAGTTATGAGCGTGGCATGAGTCAGCCCATTTACAATTCTACTATGCTTGAACGAGAACTGTCCCCCCTTTGGGAAAGGCCTAAAGACACTACAGTCAGTGGCACTGCCACGGGGGGTAAACTTTGATCCGACAGGCGGCCAAACTCTAATTAATGCAATTAAGCTAGCGGGCTGAACTCGACAAACACTCACAATATGGATTACAACAGGCAACAAAAGTAAGCCCTAGAACCCTCTGCATAAGAACCCGGTCCGCCAGAGATCATCATGCTTTTACCGTGTAGCGCTGTTGAGCTGCTTTACTATACAGAGGGTGCGGTGGCGGAGCGATTAGTGCGCTCGTCTCCGAAGCGGAAAGTCCGGGTTCGAGCCTCGGTTCGGACACAGATTTTTTTCGCCGCCTCCTGCCCACCCAGCAGTAATGGGTACCTGGCTTCGAGTTGGTGAAGTAAAGGCAGCGTTAAAAGGAACTGGCCACCCTACCACAATAATATGCCGAAGGCCCAGGAAGTTGTCTCACTAACAAGGCAATCCCCAATGTCCGGATCGGATGCGGGAACAACTTTACTTCTACTTTTTTTTTTACTATGCAATCTACTTTGAGCTGGTTGGGCTGAATAGAGAGCGGTTGGCATAGACAAGCGGGAGATAGAATTCACACGCCACATGTACACTGACTTGGCCAACATATAGCGTTACGATTGGTGTCATTTTATAGTTTTCGATGCGTTACTATTAGATCTAAATCAGAGCGACAATGTCGTTTCGCAAAAATTAAGTCTGAAGGCTTTATTTTTTTACTTACACCCAAAGCAACGCACATAGACAAGCATTCTCATAATCTATACATATGATATTTTTTAAGTCCGTCACTTTTGCAGCCTAAAACTTCGCAACCACTTAATTTTCGAATTTGAAAAAATTAATAGTGGTTCAGCATCATTCAAAGGGTGTACAGTTTTATTGATGAGTCTGAAGTCACTGTAGTTTAATTTTCAGTTTTAAAAAAAATCAGTTTCGTCTAGATCTAGATCTAGTCTTGAGAAAGTTCGTATTCTAAGACACCATTGTAAACAAGTGAGGGTTCCGTTTACTAACCGTGCGCACTGATACCACATCTTTGGAATTCTGGAGTGTGCAATCACAAAAGCAGAATAGAGAATCAATCTATACATCTACTATTTGGCAACTGGAAAC